GGACATCGTGGTGACGGGACGCTGTGTGGACAGCGCCGTGGCCCTGGGGCCGCTCATGCACGCTGTAGGTTTTTAATTTCTAACATTTATTGGAAATCTTCCAGTATTTCTCCAAGAAAGGATCACACTTTGTCATCCTGCTGCACATTTTTGTTTTTTCTTTCCCTTTTGGACATAATGAGAGCCACAGCGAGGGTCAGGAACGAGCAGGCGTGCAAACAGCTGCAGTTCCTTTAGTGGCCACTTGAGGCAGACTTGATTCAAACACACTTATCTATTTACCTTCTACCAACAATCTGTTCGTGTGTTTGTTTGAGTCGACGCCAGAGACGTGATGTCTGTGTGTGTTTCTTATCTGCTGCAGTTTGGATGGGAGAGAAACGACTACGACCTGCTGGCAGCCGGAAGGTACACACACACACACACACACAACACACACAGACAGAAACACACATAGACAGAAACACACATAGACATGCACAGACACGCACACACACAGACATGCATGGACACACAGGCACAGACAGCGGTATTTGTGACACTGTTAGGTGTGGGTCAAAAACTGTAGTTAAAACCTTGAATTAAGATTAAAGTTAACAAATAAAATACCAAAAAGTTGCAATAAAACAAAAATTTAAATTAAGACTCCAAACTGTTAAAAGCCACAAACGTGGGCTTCCCAGTGCTGTTTTAAATCGTTACTTGACGTAGGAGCAGCACATGTGCATGTTAAGGGGCAGGGAGATGATTTGGGGGGTTTCTTTTACCTAAATAAAGACATTCCTACCTTAAACTGCCGTGTATTAAAAAAAATCACCACTGCAGGAAATTGAATCGACGTGACGTTTGTATTAAAAAACAGAAACATCAGCTGGTTTTGGAGGGTTTAGAGGAGCCTCAGAGTGAGCTGTTTGAGTCGGTGCAGCTGTCATCGAAGTATTTGTGCTCTGCTGCTGAGCCTGTTCTCTGTGCTTTCAGTGCCTCAGCTGATCTACAGCGGGAAGCTGGACTTTCTGGTGTTTGACTACCTCAGTGAGATCACCATGTCTCTGCTCACCGCT